TGGTTTTGGGATGCGGTAGGGGGAGGGGAGATTTTGAAACTTGTGAAATCCACATTGATACCATTGGGCTGCAGGGTTCCCAAGCGGAATATGAGTTGCTGTTCCTGCAACCTTCGGGTGGCATCGTTGTGGCACTGCAGGAGGCCCAGGTTGGACATGTCGTCTGAGGAATGGGAGGGGGAGTTGAAATGGTTCGCGACTGGGAGGCGCAGTTGTTTATTGCGAACCGAGCGTAGGTGTTCTGCAAAGCGGTCCCCGAGTCTCCGCTTGGTTTCCCCGATGTAGAGGAAGCCACACCGGGTACAGTGGACGCAGTATACCACATTGGCAGATGTGCAGGTGAACATCTGCTTGATGTGGAAAGTCTTCTTGGGGCCTGGGATGGGGGTGAGGGAGGAGGTATGGGGGCAGGTGTAGCACTTCCTGCGGTTGCAGGGAAAGTGCCGGGTGTGGTGGAGCTGGAGGGGAGTGTGGAGCGGACAAGGGAGTCACGGAGAGAGTTGTCCCTCCGGAAAGCAGATAAGGGTGGGGAGGGAAAGATGTCTTTGGTGGTGGGGTCGGATTGCAGATGGCGGAAGTGTCGGAGGATGATGGATTTCACAAGTTTCAAAATCTCCCCTCCCCCTACCGCATCCCAAAACCAGTCCAGCTCGTCCCTGCCTCCCTAACCTGTTCTTCCTCCCACCTATCCCCTCCTCCCACCTCAAGCCGCACCTCCATCTCCTACCGACCGACCTCATCCCGCCCCCTTGACCTGTCCGTCCTCCCTGGACTGACCTATCCCCTTCCTAACACAGCTAAAGTTATTTTGTAGTTTGTAGTCCTCCCACCCACCTTCCTGCAAAAATACCATCCCCTATTCCCAATTCCTTCGCCTCCGCCACATCTGCTTCCAGGATGAGGCATTCCACTCCTGGACATCTCAGATGTCCTCGTTTTTCAAGGACCGCAACTTCCCCCCCTCAGTAGTCAAGAACGCCCTCCACTGTGTCTCCCGCATTTCCCGCAACTCATCCCTCACAACCCGTCCCCGCAATAACAACCAAAAAAGAATCCCCCTCGTCCTCATCTACCACCCCACCAACCTCCAGATCCAACGCATCATCCTCTGACACTTCCACCATCTGCAATCCAACCCCACCACCAAAGACATCTTTCCCTCCCCACCCTTATCTGCTTTCCGGAGGGACCACTCTCTCCGAGACTCCCTTGTCTGCTCCACACTCCCCTCCAGCCCCACCACACCCGGCACCTTTCCCTGCAACCGCAGGAAGTGCTACAGCTGCCCCCACACCTCCTCCCTCACCCCCATCCCAGGCCCCAAGAAGACTTTCCACATCAAGCAGATGTTCACCTGCACATCTGCTAATGTGGTATACTGCATCCACTATACCCATTGTGGCCTCCTCTACATCGGGGAAACCAAGCGGAGGCTTGGGGACCGTTTTGCAGAACACCTACACTCGGTTCACAATAAACAACTGCACCTCCCAGTCGCGAACCATTTCAACTTCGCCTCCCATTCGTCAGACGACATGTCCATCCTGGGCCTCCTGCAATGCCACAACGATGCCACCCGAAGGTTGCAGGAACAGCAACTCATATTCCGCTTGGGAACCCTGCAGCCCAATGGTATCAATGTGCATTTCACAAGCTTCAAAATCTTCCCTCCCCCTACCACATCCCAAAACCAGTCCAGCTCGTCCCCGCCTCCCTAACCTGTTCTTCCTCCCACCTATCCCCTCATCACCTCAAGCCGCACCCCCATTTCCTACCTACTAACCTCATCCCGCCCCCTTGACCTGTCAGTCCTCCCTGGACTGACCTATCTCCTCCCCACCTCCCCACCTACACTCACCTCTACTGGCTCCATCCCCGCCTCTTTGACCTGTCTGTTTCCTCTCCACCTATCTTCTCCTCTATCCATCTTCTATCCGCCTCCCCCTCTCTCCCTATTTATTTCAGAACCCCCTTCCCCTCCCCCATTTCTGATGAAGGGTCTAGGCCCAAAACGTCAGCCTTCCTGCTCCTATGATGCTGCTTGGCCTGCTGTGTTCATCCAGCATCTGCTGTTCCTACTATCTCTTGTCGTTTGTAGTAACTAGTTTTTAATGATTACAATATTAAAAAATAGGTTTCAGTTAAAGATTCTTCAGATAATCATAGCGATAGAATCCAACGTAATTATAGATACAAGTATACAACAAGATACATTCATAACTAAAAAGCATTAGGGCAATAGATTCAAACATTGATGTCTCACCTGGCATACCATGTAAGAAACAAGTTACTTGCAACTCATTAGCTAAAGAGTGCTAACAGTAGAGGTAATTATAAAACCTTACATACAACTAACTTTAATAGAAATTAATATTGAAAATCTTAAAGCAGTTAGTTAGAACCAGCTGTGTTTTATATATTTTTATTGTACAATTTGGACAATGGGAAAATATGAGGAGTAACACAATTTGATAGAGATAGCAAAGGAATACAATATTCAACAGAATTCAAGCAGTCCTTAGAGATAAGCAAGTCTGGGACACGTCTGAAGGCGTACAGCCAGTAACTTTGGAATGCGAATTAATATGATGCATAGAAAGATCCCAATGCCTGCAGATTACAATGTCTGTTAAACATCATGAGGTCATGGGAACCTAGGGCTGTCCGTAGGAGTCCATCATTGATTAGATGTATCACAGGATTCGATATATAGAATAAGAGGAAGGGCACAGTGACTATGTTGTATGTGATTATTGTAATACAAAGTGTATAAAGATATTGCATTTCACTGTAAACATCGAGTGTCATTGATTTCTCTTCCGATCTAAGCTAAGAATTAAGGGAACAATTGCATGCTCACATCGAGGCTACATTTGGGGGGAGTTTTTGGCCATCTCCCTGCATGATCTGGTGACTGCTTGAATAAAAATAAAAGCTGCCACATGCCTGAATTCTGCCTGCCTCCTGACTCTATTTCCTCGGTCAGGGGTTTCGCTTCTACACAAGACATATTGAAAGGTTAGTGAGAAAGAAAAAGGAAGCATATTAGTAAACTGAAATCAAATAACACTGAGGTGTTGCAGGAAAGAACTTAAACAAGAAATTAGGAGGGTTAGAAAGGGGCCATGAAATGTCCTTGGCAAGTAGGATTACAGGGAAAGATAGGTCCACTCAAGGACATAGGAGGGAATTTATAGGTGGAGCCAAAGGAGCTGGATGAAGTCCTTGATGAGTACTTCACATTGATATTCACTACAGAGAGAGACATTGGTGATTATAAGGCGACAGAGGGATATGCTGATATTCTGGGGCATGTCAATATTAAGGAGATGGTGGTGTTCGGTATCTTCAGACATATTGAAGTAGATAAGTCTCCAGGGCCTGATAGGATTTATCCCAGGATACTGAAGGGAGCAAGGATTGGTGGGGTCTTGACAGAGATTTTTGTATCCTCATTAGCCACTGGCGAGGTCCCAGAAGACTGAAGAATAGCCAATGTTGTTCCTTTCTTTAAGAAAGGCAACAGGGATACCCAGGAAATTCTAGGCCGATGAGCCTTACATCAGTGGTCAGCAAATTACTGGAGAAGATTCTTAGACACAGGATTTACTCGCATTTACAGGAGAATGGACATTAGAGATAATCTGCATGACTTTATGCAGGGGAGGTCCTGTCTCACAAATTTCTGATGATTACTGAGAATAGGGCTTTGGATGTTGTCTATATTGATTTTACTAAAGAATCTGACAAGGTCCCTCATAGTAGGCTAATCCAGAGGATTAAGTCGCAGGGAAACCACAGTGAGTTGGCAAGTTGGATACGAAATTGATTTGGTGACAGAAGACAAGGCAGCTGTGCAGGAGTGCTTTTCTGACTGGAGTTCTCTCACCAGTGGTGTTCTGCGAGGGTCAGTGCTGGCACTTCTGCAGTTTGTGATTTACTTGGGTGAAAATGCAGGCTTTCTGATAAGTAAATTTTCAAAGTTTGTGGATAGTGAGGAAGGTTATCAAAGGATACAGCAAGATATAGAAGAGTTGGAAAGTTGGGTGGAGAAAGTGGAAGATGGAGTTTAATTTGGACAAGTGTAAGTGATGGATTTTGGGAAGTCAAATGCAAAAGGAAAGTACAGAGTCAATTGAGGGGCCTTGAGGAGCTTTGATTTACAGAGGGACCTTGTGGTCCAAGTCCACGGCTCTCTGAAAGTAGTAACAGAAGTGAATACGGTGATTTAAAAAAGGCCTACAGCACACTTGTCTTCATCCATCACTGCATTGAATGTAAAAGTTGGCAAGTGGGTGGCACGGTGGCACAGTGGTTAGCATGGCTGCCTCACAGCGCCAGGGACCTGGGTTCGATTCCATCCTCGGGTGACTGTCTGTGTGGAGTTTGCACATTCTCCCTGTGTCTGCATGGGTTTCCTCTGGGTGCTCCGGTTTCCTCCCACAGTCCAAAGATGTGCAGGTTAGGTAGATTGGCCACGCTAAATTGCCCGTAGTGCTCAGGGATGTGTAGATGAGGTGTAGATATAGGGGGATGAGTCTGGGTGGGATGCTCTGAGGTTTGGTGTGGACCTGTTGGGCCGAAGGGCCTGTTTCCAAACTGTAGGGATTCTATAATTCTATTAAAAAAAGCCATGTTGCAGCTGTATAAAACATTAGTTCAGTCACCTTTGCGGTATTATGTCAAGTTCTGCTTGTCACACTTTAGGGAAGACATGGAGGGTTTGGGCTAAATGCAAAACAGGATTACCAGGAGGCTGCCTGAATTGGAGTGGATTGGCTAGAAGGTGAGGTTGGTCAAACTTAGATTGTTTTCACTAGAGCGTCAGAGGCTGAGGGACAACCTGAGAGAAGTATTTAAAATTATGAGAGGCATGGATAGGGCGCATTGTTGGAGTCTTTTTCCCAGGATGGAAATGTCAAATAATACAGGGAACCAGTATGAGAGGGGAAAAGTTTATAGAAGATAAGAGAGGAAATTTTTTTTTTTTTGAACGCACAGAGGGTGGTTGGTGCTGAAACCTGCAACCGGGGAGGTGGGAAAAGCCGATACAATCACAATGCTTAAGAGGAATTTAGACAGACACTTGAACAGGCAGGGAATAGAGGGATACGGACCATGTGTAGGCAGATAGGATTAGTTTAAAATAGCATTATGCTAGGCACAAATGTGGTGGGCCAAAGGGCCAGTTCCTGTGCTGTACTGTTCTGTGATCTGTGTCCAAAACAACATTCACTGGCGAGTGTGTTACAGACTGGAATTTAACTGAGGGGCTCAGGGGTGAGTTATGAATTGGAATCTGATTAAAAGCTTTATATTTGACAATTGGCCCTTGTCCAGTACAATATGCTTGTTCCCAATTCCAGCTATCCATCCTGCAAAAATATCCAGTTCAACGTTATGATCACTCTTTCCAAGTGGCTGTTAGACAGAAACTATAATTGACAATGCTCCCCTGCTGTTAGGGCCTTTGCCTATACAGTGCGGTGTACTCCTGGTCTGATCCCAGCCCCTCCTTTTGCACTCATCTTTATGATGATGACCTGGAAAGGGTTTCTCTCACTCCATGTACACGTAAGCAGATCTTTTCCTGATGATCGGTGAGCTGTGCAGGATATTCAGACATCACAAAGCAATCTGAAAACAGAGCGCAGAGTGAGTTCCCATCCAATCCCAAAAAGGGACGGCAAGGGAGTTGGACAGTGAGTGTCTGTGTGTCCACACACAAGTATACATGTGTGCGTGTGCACGCACGCATGACTAGCAATGTGTACACGACAGTCCCTGTGTAAGGAGTGTGCGTGCACACCTGTGTCTCTGTGCACAAGTGTGCGTGCACAACTGGCACATGAGTGATCCCATGCGAATCATACATTACAGAATAGGCCCTTCTGCCCATCATGTTTGTACCACCAAAGCTGTATCACTGCCTACACTAGTCCTTATTTCACGCACTAGGCCCATTGTCTTGAATGTTATGACACTTCAAATGGGTCATCCAAAGAATTTTTAAAGGTTGTCAGGTTTTGCGCCTCAGCCATCCTCCCAGGCAGTACATTCCAGGCCCCCACCACTATGCCTATGCCCCTCAAAATTTTATACATCTCAATCAGGTTTCCCCCGCAGCCTTCTGTGCTCTAAAGAAAACGACACGATCTTATCCAGCCTCTCTTCATCGCTGAACCTCTTCATCCCTGGCTACATCCTGGTGTATCTCCTCTGTACCAACTTCAGTACCTTCACATCCTTCGACAATGCAGTGACCAAAACTGCTCACAGTACTCGAACTGTGGCCTGACCAATGTCCTGCACTGCTTCAACACAACCTCCTTGCTCTTATGATCTATACCACGACTGTAAAAGGCAAGGCAATGACAAAGAACAAAGAAAATTACAGCACAGGAACAGGCCCTTCGGCCCTCCAAGCCTGCGCCGATCCAGATCCTCCATCTAAACCTGTCACCTATTTTCCAACGATCTGTATCCCTCTGCTCCCTGCCCATTCATGTATCTGTCTAGATACATCTTAAATGATGCTATCATGCCCGCCTCTACCACTTCCGCTGGCAATGCGTTCCAGGCACCCACCACCCTCTGCGTAAAGAACTTTCCACTCATATCTCCCTTAAACTTTTCCCGTCTCACCTTGAAATCGTGGCCCCTAGTAATTGAGTCCCCCACTCTGGGAAAAAGCTTCTTGCTATCCATCCTGTCTATACCTCTCATGATTTTGCAGACCTCAATCAGGTCCCCTCTCGACCTCCGTCTCTCTAATGTAAATAATCCTAATCTACTCAACTTCTCTTCATAGCTAGCGCCCTCCATACCAGGCAACATCCTGGTGAACCTCCTCTACACCCTCTCCAATGCATCCACATCCTTCTGGTAATGTAGCAACCAGAACTGTACGCAGTATTCCAAATGTGGTCGAACCAAAGTCCTATACAACTGTAACATGACCTGCCAACTCTTGTGCTCAATACCCCGTCTGATGAATAAAAGCATGCCGTATGCCTTCTTGACCACTCTATTGACCTGCGATGCCACCTTCAGGGTACAATGGACCTGAACACCCAGATCTCTCTGTGCATCAATTTCCCCAGGACTTTTCCATTTACTGTATAGTTCACTCCTGAATTGGATCTTCCAAAATGCATCACCTCGCATTTGCCTGGATTGAACTCCATCTGCCATTTCTCCACCCAACTCTCCAATCTATCTATATTCTGCTGCATTCTCCAACAGTCCCCTTCACTATCTGCTACTTCACCAATCTTAGTGTCATCTGCAAACTTGCTAATCAGACCATCTATACCTTCCTCCAGATCATTTATGTATATCACAAACAACAGTGGTCCCAACATGGATCCCTGTGGAACACCACTGGTCACAGTTCTCCCTTTTGAGAAACTCCCTTCCACTACAACTCTGTCTCCTGTTGCCCAGCCAGTTCTCTATCCACCTAGCTAGTACACCCTGGACCCCATGCGACTTCACTTTCTCCATCAGGGAACCTTATCAAACGCCTTACTGAAGTCCATGTATATGACACCTACAGCCCTTCCCTCATCTATCAACTTTGCCACTTCCTCAAAGAATTCTATCAAGTTGGTAAGACATGACCTTCCCTGCACAAAACCATGCTGCCTATCACTAATAAGCCCATTTTCTTCCAAATGTAAATAGATCCTATCCCTCAGTATCTTCTCCAGCAGCTTCCCCACCACTGACGTCAGGCTCACCGGTCTATAATTACCTGGATTATCCTTGCTACCCTTCTTAAACAAGGGGACAACATTAGCAATTCCCCAGTCCTCCGGGACCTCACCCGTGCTCAAGGATGCTGCAAAGATTTCTGTTAAGGCCCCAGCTATTCCTCTCTCGCTTCCCTCAGTGACCTGGGATAGATCCCATCCAGACCTGGGGACTTGTCCACCCTAATGCCTTTTAGAATACCCAACACTTCCCCCCTCCTTATGCCAACTTGACCTAGAGTAACCAAACATCGATCCCTAAACTCAACATCCGTCATGTCTCTCTCCTTGGTGAATACCGACACAAAGTTCTCATTAAGAATCTCACTCATTTTCTCTGACTCCTCGTACAACTTCCCTCCTTTGTCCTTGAGTGGAAGAGGGGGGAGACACGGGGTGGGGGGGGGGGGGGGG